TGCCCCGGGTACCGGCGCTGACCGTGCCCTCTCCACCTCCCCAGCTGTGCCAGCTGTGCCCGGGGCCACCCCGAAACGGCTCCATCGTGTCCCGGTTCTGTGAGTCCCGGGGACACACCGAGAGCGAGGGACGCTGCTGCTGGGAACGGGACCCATCCCCGAGGCGGCTTCTGGGGTACGGGGGGCCCGGGGGAGGATGGGGATGCACAGGATGGGGGGTTAGGGGGGTTAGGGGGGTTCGGGGCCCCGTGATGGGGGCGCTGGGGTGCCAGGATGGGTGTTTGGGGTCACAGCGATGTCAGGGGAATGGTGGGTGCAGCATCCTGGGTGAGGGTGCGAGGGGGGCAGGCACAGGGAGGGGCTGGGATGGTGCTGGGGGTCACAGGGACCTCAGAGGAAAGTGTGGGGGACAGGCATGGCACTGACTGCCCCAACCATTGCCCCTTCCAGGCTGGACCTGAGCGATTGCTCCCTGCACAGTGTCCCCCCGGGACTGGCCGAGGCCACTGCTGCCGTTGTTCTGTGAGTTCCCCCGGGCCAGAAGGGGTTGGGGCAGCTTTAGTGGGACATCTCCATGGGGTCCAGGCCAGCCCAGCTCTGCCCTGCTGCTCTCAGCATCCCGGGACAGCTCTCTGCCCTGGTGGTGACAGTCTGCAGGGTCTGGACAAACAGAAACCATTCCTGTGTTTAAAAGGGGGCTGTGAGACCCACCTGTCCTGTCAGCCTCACCCCTGTGCCCAGTGGGACATGGGACAGATCCTCCTGGGGTTCTGTCACGGTGCATGTTGGCACAGGACAACCTGTGACACTGGGGGCTGTGCTGGCAGGTGACAGACAAGCCACACGGTCACATCTTGGCTTTTGCCACAGTCCCACAGTGTCCTTGTCCCCAGGCTGGAGAGACAGGACACAGAGAAGTGACTGACCCAGTGAGCCACATGCAGGGCACTGTCAGGGCTCAGGGCTCGCTGTTCTGATGGCCCCAGTGAGCCATGGTGGCCTCAGGGCACCGTGACACCCTGGCTCATTTTTTTTAATGACCCAGCAGTCCCTCAGCCCCTCTGCAGAGACCTTTGAGCCCCGGGTGTAGGGCAGCACCCCCAGGGCCTCAGGCAGGAGGGAGAGTTGTGCATGGGAATTCCTGAGGTTCAGTGAGATGCTGGGGGTACCCCTGGTGCCTGCCAGGGTGGGACTGAAGGTTCGTGTGTTTGCAGGGAC